ACTATTCAGTCTCAAATACGTTATTATATTTTGGGCTATTTCGCCAGACTTCGTGTCATAACCCTAACCTCTAGCCTCGAATCTATCAATAAATTCGTAACGTTTATGAGACTGATATAAAAATGCAAATCATGTACATATTTTTATATTGAACAATCCAATAGAAAGGATTGAAAAATGTTAAAATCTGACAAACATTCAAAGATCAAAGTTTATTTATGTAAAGGATAAAATTGTTATATAACATCATTAAGTAAATTGTCTTATAATACCTCGTTAGTTAGGTTAGGAGTCGGGAGTTGAATAATAAACGAGTTACGAAAAGGATTATCTAGAGTTTTTAGAGTAGAGTTTTTTAAGAAATACATAGTATCAAGTGAACTGTTAAGAAGTGACTAATATTAATTATCTCTTGCCCTGCCCTTTACAAAATTTAAGATAAACCGGACCCTAAGCTACATACTATGCAGCAGCTACTAAAAAATCTCTGAACAGCAACTACTTTTGCTATCAGTTGATCATCGTCTCACGCAAATAATGGTCTATTGATAAAACCGTACATTGTACACTATAGGTGAAGCAATACATGAATACTTTGCTACCACCTCATTAGTTATCGTACCTAGAAAAAACAGAATTCTATCAACAAACGTTTCTGAATTTTAATTATATGTCATTAAGAGCTTTTGTCCTTACTTTGTACTATCGTAATAAAAACAAACATATTGTAATTCTGTTTTATTTCTGTGGCAAATATATGTAAGTACTTTTACTAACTTCTGCCCGCGACTTCGTACGCGCAATCCTGTTTTCTCCTGATCCCGTAGAAATTTCACGAATTTTTTTCTTACATAGGAACCTTCTTGTAATAATAACAAATACAAGAAAAATTGAATTAGTGAAATCGGTCCAGCTATTCACGTATGATGCGAAAATTCTAAGGGAAAAAGGGATTCATTTTTATATATAATTTTATGTAATTTTTTCTACTTACACATTTACGTCTCAAGTACTTTTTAGTTATTTTCGTGCTTTCAACAGTTTACTTCCTAGCATAGTTTTTAACAAAAACTATTTAGTATTTGTCGATTTAAATTATACAGTAACGTAGATAAAGTTATGCATTACGTGCCAAGATTACAATTTTCTTCAACATCAATGTAATGTCATTGTCAAAGTGAACAAGGTGAAGACACATTCTCTATTTATTTATACTTGACTTGAACCTACATAACATCACGCCTTTTATCCCCGAAGGGGTAGGCAGAGGTGCACATTATACCACTGTACAATGTAACACCCACTTTTCACTATTTTTGTTATGAGTCCCATGTAATAGGGGGTGAGCCTATTGCCATATACCGGGCACAATTCCAGACTCCGTGCTACCACTGAGAATATTTAAAAACCCAGTAATACTTTGCCCGACCCGGGAATCGAACCCGAGACCCCTTGCCCGGCAGTCGCACTTACGACGACTCGGCCAACGAGGCAGTACTTGAACCTACTTAGAAGAATACGTAATTAAGTTCCTATGTAACAGTGGTATGAATGGGTATTGTAGTAGCAAGATTCCTCATGTCTAGGAATGTGACATTACATGAATGTGAATGAATACAAAGAATATTACACATTTCACAGTGACATTCTGACTTTATCTGTCTGAATTCCACCGTATTTTCTTTCTTAAAAAAGTCAAACAGAAAAGTTCTGGAAGTTTTAGTCAGCGAGATACATATGTATATATACAATATATAAGATGTGCGAGTAATGGACCACTGGTTTAATGTAAGTACCTATCTTCAATTTCGAAATATTTCGAAATTAATAAATGTAGTTAGCAGATTTATTTTAACCTAGGATCTTCTTAATTTTAGCGATGTATGTTCGTCACATAACTTTATCTCAGCATCGATCCATTTGGAAAGGGTAGGGAGAGAATGGCTCATCATTTTATTGTCCTTGCATTCCTCTTTTGTTTCGCCTACGTCGATTATGATCTATTCAACACAGGATTCAATCAAGGGTATGCCCATTCAATGTAGGAGTTCAACCATTATTATTATGTTAATATGCAATCCGCAAGTTTATTCTTAGAAACACATTACGTAGAGTAGTAGATGCGTAAATATTATCTCATGCTGAATTGCACATCTTTCTCCAACTTACGTGGTTGTTAAGCAAGTAACATTAGCCCGATCTACACAACCTGTACATTGTTCCAAGGTTAAATTGATCAACTAAGAGGGGTCCTCACGCACGCCTAGTTTCGTGTTATAGTAAAGCACCGAGCGATGGTAATGACTAATGAGTGCAAAACGTTTAGAATTGGGCGCTCCATGCGGCACGCAGCGGTGTCAGTAACCTCAAAAGCGCAGGCACTACTTACGTAACAAACACATCTCGCGTCCGCCAAAGACGTGCAATTGAAACTATGTATATGACAAAATCGCAACTATGGACACGCTAACGATATGTTACGATATACATGTAATAAGCTATATTGTAAAATATAATATGAAGTAAATGACACTGACAAAGAGCCACTTTCACGTTGCAAAGTTCATGGTTAAAACTAAATAGTAAGAAAGTTTACGGATATGTTTTGTAGGAATAGTTAACAGTACTTTTGTAGAAAACCATTCGTGTATAATATGGGAAAATTGAAGTGATTTTCCTCCAACATCAGATATTTAATAATATATATCATCTTGCTTCCATAAAAATCAAGAAGATTTCATGAGTGCAAATATTAATGTAAGAGCGTATGACTAAGATTTACCAGTATTAACAGGTTGTGATCTCACTAAGGTTTACAGGTGGTTATAAAACATGTGATGAAATAGTTTTGAATGACTAATTTAACAATTACGGTTTACCCAACGGCTTATAGTATCCCAGATATGAATGGTTGCTTATATGTATATTATCACTCATATAGAATTAGAAGCGTATTAAATAGTACCTGGAATTGCGATATTTATTATGCGATACAGCGATTTCGATCAGAAATGGTTATTGGAAATCACATAATGGATTAACCTTATGTGCATCGGGCGCAAAAATGAACGGAAATGAAGCGCATCGCAGGCATGCCTGCGTCCACGCACACTCCCTCTTGTGCCCATTGCGCAAGTTGCCTTGATAACTGATAGTAACGTGTTGCTACACTGACAAGCGAAAACAACGCCTACAATTTATGTAACAGCTACTGGCAACACAAACGATGCCCCTTACACCATGGCTCTTAAAACAGTGCCGCTGACATGAAACACTTCTCAATTCTTTAGACAAATTCTATGCACATAGCAAAGGTGAAACTGGGCGTGGATGACGCGTTCGTCTTTTATAATATTTATTTTGTTGAAAAAGAAGTATGCAACTAGGACACGTATAAACAAATGTCATAAGGAAGCATTCAGTGTTATAAGTTGAGCAAATGACCATCTCACAACACTCGGATGAAAATGTATGCGAATGTTTATGAGTATGTGTTAATGATCAAGTAAGACATAGGTGCAGTGTATTTACGTAGATCCTGTATCACATCATATCAACAGCCTATAAGTGGCCACTGCCGACCAAAGGTCTCTTCTGGAACATGGAAAAGGTTTGAACATTAATCACCACGTTTGCTTAATGCGGGTTGGCAATTTCAAACTTATAATTTGAATTTATAAGTCCAGGTTTCCTCACGATGTTTTCCTTCACCGTTTGTCAGATCCTGTATAAGTAAACGCAACCCATTCAAGAATTAGTCTGAAATGCTTACTATATAGTGATGTTTTTTATTACATCGTCCTTCAAGGATATGCCCTTGACATACAAAAGAAGATGAAAAGTATTACACAAGAATATCACGTCACATAAACCGCCAATGCCTAGACTGTTGTTCACATCCTGTTCGTCAGTATCACAGTATGCTAAAATAAAAAAAAAAAATTACAATATTAACAATACTAATAGATACTAGCAAGTAGCAGTAATAAGTAAACGGTCATTTTTATAACTATTAAAGAAAATAGGAACAGTTTTTCCACAATAAAGAGTTGCTAATTGTCTTTGATTTATTTGACGAATTATTGTGTTTTTGTTATTATTAGTTAATAGTATACTGTCATTGTAAATTATTATATTTTTAGTTTTTTCAATGAAATTATTAAATTTCAATTTTAATAATAAAATTCCAATGTCTTTACGTTACATTCATAAATTTACTAAATACTAATATAGTCGTCTTATATTTTAATACATTATTTACACAACTATTCGTTAGTAATTTCATATTAATAAAATGAATGAATTAAATTATAGATTTGTAGTCAAAACAAAAATTATATTATGCATTGTTTAATGAAATTAACAGTTTGTTGTTTACATTACATTATTTAAAGAATTTATTATAGTCTAATTTACGATGTCTGGTAACAGCGACCTAAATTACTTTATAGTTTCTGGTAACCATTTAAGTAAATAGAATTGAATAACCATTGTTTATATAGACGTTTATGTTGTTTTAACTATCAAATTAATGCTTGAAAGCAATTATATGAAGTCAGAGATTAGTCTGTATCATATATTATGTTAACTTTTAAGCAATAGTCTGATAGTCCTGTAGTATTTAGGTTCCCACTACTTAACTTATATAGGTACCAGTAAATTGCAATAAAACTTTCCTTATTTAACAAATAATGTTATTAAATTAAGAAGTACATAATAATTATTATTTACATTTCTCAAAGTACGTATATAGGTTGGCATTGTAGGTACTCACTGACAATCAAACGGTATACAATAGTCAGATCATTAGAAAGCTTTAAGATGACATCTAACGAACCATAACAATCATAGGCATGAATGCATGAATGAGCATTATCATGATTTTGATATCGAATTTGAAAATCAAAAAATAGCAAGTACGTGTTTGATCGTGGCTGTACTGTATTGCAGCGGCAAGTTTGCTATGAAAGTGAGATGGCTCGCAGATCGCATAAGTGGCAGGGGTGCGGTATAAAAGTGAGCGTAGTACTACCACTCTGACATAGTTCACGACACTCCACGTGCCAATTCGCTGCTGCACGTCCACACACATAAACAACAATGAAACTGCTGGTAAGTGGAAGCGTACTAACTATCCCTAATTTCTTCTTTCTTCAACCCTTTTATTTTATCAGTTCATAGTAAATGTAGTAGTTCAGTTATCTCCTTTCTCTATGAGTGAAGTAATCATAAATACAGATGATTGTACTCATTATAATAATTGGAATATATTAGCATTACGTTAATTTCAAAGTTCTGTGAAGGATTGGATGCAATCGTGTGCTGAGAGCGGCGGCACAGAATAGGGTCGGCAGATATGTCGACGATTGAACTTTGCCATTTAAATGTCTTCATCTTTAAATTCTTACATTTAATTATACTATTTATCGTTTATAGCGAGTGCAATTGGAACAAGTATTGTGACCTTAAGTAAAGGCTTTTGTTTGCTTTTAGTGCGCGAGTAACCAGAATATTTCTATTACTTATTTTTTCGCTTTTTAATTTTTTAATCCTTGTGTTTTATTTCGTGTGAAAATTAAATTATGAATTTTTAAAACTAGTATCAATAAAAATTTCTTTGATATACCTTTTCGAGTTCCGTTAAGGTTACTTCTGTGAGTTTCTGTGAATTAAATGTAGCTTCAAAGTGTTTTTTTCTTTTCTTTAAAATATTTGTGTTAAATATTTTTATTATATGTTCTATGAAATTATATTGGAAACATTTATCAGCTTACGCAGACTTCTTTTTCATTTGCTTAAAGTACAGTTTTATTATGTTTTAAATTAGCTTACTTTTAAATTATTTTAGTATAATATGCATGGACGTATAATCGCAATAACTGCCCTTGAATTTATTTGTCGCAGAAAGTAAGTGTAGCTAATGTGCAACTGTTGCTGCAAGGAGGTTGTCTACCTCTTTGAGGAAGGACAATAATTCATGTATTAATTCAGTTACGATATTATTATCTAGCAGTGTTACACTAGTTGAACGTAATAAGTTATTTATTTGACTAGTTTTATATATCATTAAAATAAATGTACATGAAAGCGTAATTCGAATGATGGATGTGTATTCGAGTAGGTATTATCGTCGTTTTTACACAAGGCAAAGTCCAAACTTTCAAATACACATTTTACTTCACAGTTAGAATCTGGATTTCTCCGAATAATTGAGATAAGATTGAGATGTTTGTAGGAGAACCCTACAAATAACTTAATTTTTTAAAAATACTTCAATAATGAAACTAAGGGCCGATATTGAAGTAATAAGTTAATTATTAGCTCTAGAATAGAAATTGACATTTGTATGGAAGAATTATCAAACATTCAAAGTTATTCTTCAGTTAAAATTTATCTGGCGTTGGAAAAGTCGGCCCTAAATACGACAAACTCAAAATCACAAACAACTAGATACATAAACACACAGAGATACGTAGCTAATAAAATCCTAACATAAAAATTACAATCGCTTCAGTTCGTAACAGCTTAGTTTTTCATCTGCGTGCGGTAATGTAACATCACGCAATCAAACGTAATATAAACTAGATATTATTATGATGGAAAGGGTCATTAGCATATGAACAAGAAACTATTACATTTCAATTGACAGTCGCAACCTCGTTCTAATGAACTTTCTGTTACACAAATGATCTTGTTCCATGTAAGTCCCTTATGTAACAATTTTCTAGGTCAATTTATTTACTAAATAAGTTAGGTTTTTGAACTGTACACTAACCAAATGCCTATTTAATCAGTGTGCAGTCACTGGAAAAACGAAACAGTTAAAAAATTGTACGAAATCAACGCAATGTGTTACGTTGACTTAATATTTACGATTTATGTATACGAATGTTTTTCCACATCGGTAAAAAACCGATTGAGTCATAAACTTACTTGTCCAAACTTATAAAGTTGTTTGACACAATGCAACAACTCGTGATTGGTGATTGTAACATGAAGATTAGTTGGTGCTACTCTGTGATTATCTATTTGGATGTATATCTATTGCACCTACACATGTCTCAAATACAACGAAATGTTACACAACTTATAATAATACAAACAAATATTGGCACATCTGTCTACCAACATACGTTCCAAAAAGATGGAACAAGACATCTATGTTAACCACCGTCTATTTGCCTACCTTTTGTAATCAACTACGCATTATATAACGCACACAACAAAAGATGCTCTTTGTTAACGCAGCATAACTAAAAGTAAGTTGATCTCAATAAAAACAATGCCATGCTTGTCGCCATGTAAGTGCCAATACATATTATGTTGGGGCCCACTTTCGCCCAACCTGCGTGTCGAATGAGCCGGTTTCACAAGATGCTGCCTATTGTATCTGTACCATCTTATCTTACGACATTCCGAATATGATTAAGCTCTTCTGTCTGACATCATCTCGTTTTTTAATGTTATTTTAAAGTTCATGTATTGCCATCGGTTAATAAAATGGGAATTTGTGATTTCAGGTCGTATCTTGTGCTCTGCTGTCCCTTGCGACAGCTCTGCCGCAGAGGAGAGTGTCGCTGAAGCCTGATCAGCCGGAGATAGATGACCAGCAGCCTGCTGAGCAGAACTACAACAACTACCAACAACCACAACCACAAGCTGAGTACAGACAAGTCCAGCAGGAGTACAAAGCTAAGCCCATCGAAGACTTCAGGCCCAAGGTCCAACTGGAAACCACTACTTTTGTCCCCATCATTCGCTTCGACAAGGAGCAAGGCACTGACGGAAGCTACAAGACTGCGTAAGTATTATAATTTATGACTACCATGAAGTATGGTATCTCTTTACTAGACCACCAACTTGTAGCACTTACGCAAGATTTATTTAACATTTAGATATGAGTTTTGTCTCGATTTCATGCTATGATTTAATTGCCAGCCATCACCATTAGCAATAACCATTACGATTCGTATTATCGTTATAGATGTCATAACATTTTTTTTCTCCGAAATTAAACTCAAGTGTCCAACCTTGACCTCCTACTTTTACCATCTCGATGATTACATACACATCGCATTCATAAACTTAAGTAAACATGAATATATTACCTTTATTTACATATTATTTATTGACATCGTAGTGAAATAATTATTTTGGTGACCAAAAATGGTTGGGTTATTAATTTTTACTTTATGAATTTTCAGTTATGAAACCGGCAACAACATCCATGCTTCCGAAGAAGGTTACTTGAAGACTCTTGGTGAAGGCCAGAACGCTTTGGTCCAGCAAGGTTCCTACTCCTACACCGCTCCTGACGGTCAGATCATTACCGTTGACTACACCGCTGACGAGTTCGGATTCAGGGTCAGTGGTGACCACATCCCCACCCCTCCTCCCGTCTCTCCCGAAATCCAGAAAGGTCTGGACTTGATCTACGCTGGAATTAAAGCCAATGCTGTAAGTTACATTATTATTTTCATTTACATAACTTGTGCTAATCTTGACTATTACGCAAGAGAGATTTTCGAAATTGATAAAGTTGTATTTCAGTATTTTTAGTAAGTTCACAGTAATTTTTATGGCCAGTTAGATGTAAAGTTGCTCTAGTCAAGAACTTTCATTTTGATTTCTATTGGATACTTGTATCCAATATATAAAGTTTTAAAATAGGCCAAGGTCAATTTCAACAGATTTCTTGATTATTTAGTGCTAACTGTAACTGAAATTTAGTGCTACTATAGTTTTATACACCTATTATAATTGGACAACAATGATTAAGAACTAAAAGGAAATAGAATGCGTCGTAAATGAAATAATATAAGTAGGTTATATCAACGATTTATTGGTTGGTTTGTAACCATAAAAAGCATTGCCAAGATTTAGATTCATTTATCATTTACAAACGTAAATATGTTAAAAAATAATAATAAAAAACGGAATCCTTATCTATTAAGAAAATATGATAAAACGAGTTTTATTGTAAGCTACAGTTTGGAACGAACTATTAGTTTCGCAAAAGATTTAGAGTTCAAACGTCTATCTTTTTCCACTGAAATAAATAATTTGGACTTGGACTATAATATTGTTTTTTTCCAATTTAAAAATTAAAATATTATTGTTATTTTCCAGGAGCGTGCCGCCCTCGAAGCTAAGAACGACCCTGAGGCTGCCAGAAAACAGCAAGACAGAGCCGCTCTTGACTACAAAGGCGAGTACTACCAGCAGTAAAGTGAATTAGTGATAAGAGTGTAAATACCGTGAACGTTCTCATGGCAGGACCTCCAAATGCCATATACTTTAAGACTACAATCGCCTATCACCATCATGTCACATACAACCTTTAAGACTTGTTATCCAATCATATAATAAACGACTCCATTCTTGGACTAAACGTGACCTATGATTGGTTGATAAAATTCCCGTATGCAGTATTCATATGTGGTCATAGGCTTTAGTTTAGGGTTAACCAATTGTTATTTTACAAGATAATTATAATACTCAATATGACGTCTAATTAAGATGAAGATAAGCAGATGCCTGGTCGATTCTTTTTATAAAGAACTCTTGATTTTAATATGAATAGTGTTTTATTAGTTTTGATGGAAGAAAAAGTATGTAAACGTCTTGTGACGTAAAAATCTTAAGCTTATATTAAGCTTAGGTCGAGTTTACTTATAGTACTTTTTAGTTTTATCAACGCTAATAAAACAAAGTATCATCATCAACTTTTATTCGTCACAAACATCAAGTGCGGGTAATATTCACAATTTTATGGAACTTATTTTTATATAGACTTGAGAATACTAACAAACCACAGTCCAATGAAATTATGAGTACTATCCAAAAAAAAAAATTGACTTTGTGATACAACTCCTTCCAGAAAAGTGTTCAATAGTTATAAACTTTTGTATATACCTTACCACTGTAATTAACTTATCTTTGTATGTTTGATTTTAAATAAAAATGTTGTCAAATAATGTTTTTGTCACTACCCTAATAAATTGTCTACCTTGATTGGAGTCCAACTGCAAACATCGTACAATTGTCATAAAATGTCATGTTACACCTTTCCATTGTCGCGGAGAACCTAACGGATTCCCGGGGCTCCGGCTCGACGTGCAGGAGAAGGAACGGGGTGGTTTTTAGTCAGTAAGAGTCTGACACTCCCTCCTGCCTCACCCAGGCGGGAGCAGACATTCGATGATATTCCCCGCTTAAAAAAACCCCTTTCCATTACAGCTAAATTATCACTTAAATTAAAGGAACCCTAAAACAACCAGCACGAGTAATGGTATCAAATTACTTTTTCTTCAAAAAATACCTTCGCTGAATTTTTTACTCCCGACATAGATTACTTCTTCGGTAGCTAGTCGCATAAAAAGTAAATCGTGTACATGATACCTATAACTCGTTCAAGTAAAACTAATTTCATATAGAAAGTGTAGTAAAAAGAATTATACAATCGCAGGATACGAAGTTTATGTATTAGAACATTATATAAGCAGTCTGCGTTTGTACTTGTACTTGTACCTACTCGTAGTTAGCTGCCATTCAGTTACAGAATAGAGATTGAACCAGTTTTTACTCTAAGCTCAGTAATCAGATGTTAATACAAGATCACTTTAATAGTTTCGTAACATGCCAAAGCATTAACGCCCGAATACTGAAAGGCTACTACATTTTAAGTTATACTTAAAAATCGCGCCTTCTTTGTCATTTTACAAAGAATTTGTAGTGACAGAACATACTGAAGCGCGACTTAAAATTGACTGACGTTTGATTATCTCAGAATGAGTCTTTTTATCACAGAAAGAGTACATTATTCAGTACCTAGCACAAATTTTTCACCAGGTGTTATTTGTCCTATTTAATATGAGCCAAACCTATTACCCACACTAGGCAGAACCGAAAAGCTAATCTGAGACTTATATCGAGACCCATTGCTCGGCCGGCAGATGAAATTTCGAGCACTCTGAAACGAGTCAGTTGAATATTTCATTGAATATAACTCGTCAATCGTTACATTAAATTTTCAGACAACAGAATTATTACCTTAATGATTTTTAATTAAGTCATATAACATCACGCTTTTCATCCCCGAAGGGGTAAGCAGAGGTGCACACTACGGCACTTAATGCCATTGTACAATGTAACACCCACTTTTCACTATTTATGTTATGAGTCCCATGTAATAGGGGGTGAGCCTATTGCCATATACGGACACAATTCCAGTTATTTATTATCACAAATTTTTCACCAGATATTATGAGTCCCATTTAATATGGTGCAAGCCCACACCAGGTACAACCGAAAAGCTGATCTGGAAATTGAATCCAAAACCACTTGCACGGCCGGCAGTCAATATAATTATGTGCCATAATAAAATTGTGTACATAAAATAATAAATAAATAATTCAATCGTTACATATTAATTCTCACATGATCAAAGAATGATTACCTTATTTTTTTTTATTAAGTAGTAATGGATTACATTCTTACCTACTAGTTAAATAACTGCACTTACGTTTGTTCATTTTTATGCTTTCAATGTGTTAACTTCTAATATATTTCGTGCGTGATTTCATTTTTATCAAATGTTCAATGAATCGGATTATTAGGTAAGTGACTGAAATGTTTAATCGTTAAGTTTACTCTGTTAGATTTTGGTAAAAAGGAAGCAACGTGTCAAGCAAGAAATTTTGTTCATACAAAAGTAGTCTCTAAACATCGGAAATAAGGTCCATAATGGAGTTAGTGGAGAGCGGTCACCGGTAACCACTTGGGGATTGAACAGTTTCAGTTTAGCTGTACCGTAGGCAGTACGGCAGTACGTACATTGATTACAATAGTGTTGTATGAAATTTCTTCTTTAAAATAATGATCTCAACATCCAAATATTTTGGTTCTTGTTTCCCTTTTCTAAATAGATGTCGAATTTTACAGTTCTTTGGGTTTATTTTATTAATGTTATGTAGGTCATATTAAAAGTTACAGTTTTTTTTAAGGAGGAAAATCATCGAATGACTGCTCCCGCCTGGGTCAGGCGGCCCGAGTGTCAGACTCTTACTGACTAAAAATCACCCCGTTCCTTCTCATGCACGTCGAGCCGGAGCCCGGGTAACCCGTTAGGTTCTCCGCGACTCCGAATCGGCATCGGCCCTGTTGGGCCCAGTATACGAAATTAATTTTAGTAGGTACTTGACAGTCAGTTTGTATTAAAGTTATAATCATAGCCACTCAATAAATATAACTTTATTATTTTACTCATATCATCAGCATTTTACTTAAATTATAATCAAAATATCTGCATTATTGAACATAAAATAAATTCAGAAGCTTAAAGTTGATTACTTTATATATTTTATTGATTTCATCAAATGCCACACGTAGAACTGGCTTCGCTGGGGTCAGTGCGTGTCGATGCGACGCATGTACTTATTTCACAACGAACCCTCGGTCTTTATCGGACATTAGCTTGTCTAGAGTATGACGGCGCTGTGTAATTCTAGTATGAACCCATGAACAGACAAATTAAACTTGATCAGTTTGCGCAAATACTTAATTAAAGCCCTGAATGCTAGAATTTATACGCGGAAGATGTACGATGCAAATTTGTGGAGAAAATTTTAAGCAAATTACACGTTGATTTTGTAAGCAAATCTGGAAAGTTTATGCATGTTCGTGATGGATTAAGTAATGATAATTTTGAGCTCCGTAGTCATCGTACAAGAAAGCGTCGTAAAAAGTACTGAACGTGCTAACTCAGTATGACACATTTTGGGTTACACTTTTGTTCAGTGAGAGTTCTGTAGACAGTATGAGATATACCTTATTTTATTTAAGATCAAGCCTTTAATTTTGTGAAGCTGTAAGAAAACTCATGCAAAGGGTTTTTATATACGGTAGCGCAAACTACTTACACTGTAAAACACCGCGAGGACACCGGTGACCGCAACCTATTGTTCTTTAATTGTGTCTATAATGACGGTACTCAAAGGTTAAATGTCACTCTAAGTACAACTACAACACAAAAGGCAACATTGTGAAACGTAAACTAATACATAACACCTACAACTGATTCTGAACTAAAAGACAATTAATTTTGTAATAACTTATGCATTAATTTAGTCAAAAATATGAAATATTTTATCTTTATAACTATTTGCCCACCCATGGCGATGATGTGCCTAATTTGAACGTGCAGTGGGCATAATTTTATAAACTTATGGTCAACTCACCTTTGCATTTGAGGTTCTTCAAAGCCATTACATTAGATTTATAATTATTATACACAATTTCAATTACTAAACAAGTTTCGCACTCTGTGATGAAAAATTTGTTTGGCTATTTTGGAGTCCTCGAAATCAAAATAGGTTCAAAAGTTGATATAAACTGTAAAGAATTATATAAAAAATAAAATATAAATGGCAGGTTTTAGCTATTAATTAAATTGCTTCAAACACAGATTTGTCACTTAACAGGTATGTTAAAAGACCGAATACCCATTGTTTATTTTCTACCGACACCGAGGAATGGGATGCAGCAATCCATAAATACATCGATAACCTAACTGCAATCCCCAAGCCGCCTGCCAAGCGTGGGATTATGGCATTCTCCCCCCCCCCCCCAAGGGGTAGGCCTTTGTTGCAGTGGACGTCTTCCGGCTATTAATGATGATGATGACTTTTTGCAGTTTGCTTGCATCTAAAACACAACATGAGTGCCAATTTTACTGATCATTTAACTCTGAAAAGATGAGTGTAGGTATATACCCCCTTATATAAGGGGGTTGACTTTTGGCATGTCGATCAAGTGGTAAGCTGTCTTACAATTATGATCAATTGATAATAATTAAAACATTACAATTCCTACAAATTGTGTTGTCTAGACGGTAGCAAAAAAATGAGTAGAACGAGTAGAAGCAGGTAATAAGACCGATTATTAATTTTTATAATATTATTCTTTAACTGAATACTGATTCCAAAATCAGTCATTACTGCAATAGCCAGTATCATACTTGTATAGTAAGTACTTGTTTGATCAAGTGAGTAATACATGAAATGTATAGATACAAGTTTTATCTTGTACCCTCTATATTACTGTCAACGAGATATCTGTTTCCCACTGAATTTCTCACTAAAACTTACCTAAGAGATATGACGCAGCGCAGTTTTTCATACAAGCTTAAAAGTTAAATGTCATATATACATAATAAAGAAATTTTAATTAAAACGAAACCCATACGAAGTATATCAAGTATTGAATAATTAGTTGAACCTATTTTTAAAATATAATTATTTTTGCGAATAATTACTTTGACATGATTGTAGGTACGATTTTTGGGATAGGTATTAAATTAATATTCTATCTTTCTTTTTAGAAGAAAAGACTCGTGTCTCGAAAATGTTTTTAAGTAAATGTTAAGATCTTGATAAAGAGTACCTTTACCTTTTTTATATTTGAACATAGGTCTAAAGTTTCATTTTAATGGACTTATTTTTTTCCATGAATTGGAGCTTCTAAGTTTGTATGAAAAAAAGTTCGCGTAAAGCTCTTAAATGTCCACTATTTATGTGTCGCAATTAACGAGTAAAACATTTAAATACTTACCTGACATCTTTATAAATCACATTTTCGTAAGGGTCAGAAGTCTCACCCCCATCCAAGGCTGCCTAGACTGTATACTTTAATAAACATGTCAGATAAATGTCAATAACGTTTCCTTATCTACACGTAATAAAGTCATAAATTCTTTGTTAGTATTATTGTCTACTTTATTTCAATATTCTGTTAATAGAATTATTGTTTACTGTTGAATATTGATGTCAAAGATTGGGGAGATGTCTAAAACTAAATTATAGATTGCTCTGAAGCTACCAGAAAATTGGGGCATAAGAAAGACTGGATTAAGAATGACAACAAAAATTAGTACATATATATCTACATAACATCATGCCTTTTCTCCCTAAAGGAGTAGCCAGAGGTGCACGTTACAGTACTTAATGCCACTGTACAATGTAACTCCCACTTTTTACTATTTATGTTATAAGTCCCATATGATAGGGGGTGAGCCTATTGCCATATATCGAACACGATTCCAGACTCCGTGCTACTACTGGGATTAAAAAAAAAACAGTAATACTTTGTCCGACCCAGGAATCAAACCCGAGACCCCTTGCCTAGCTGTCGCACTTTCGACCAACGACGCGGTTATTGCCAAGCAGGCAGTAAACATTTTTATTTTCACCATTCGTATCACCACGGACGAAGTTTTAGCAATTATTGTAGATAGGTCCAGGATGTACTTGTGTATGTGTGTTGATTAAGGTATTTAAGTCACATTTAAATTATCCATCACAAACAGTAATCTGTAACTCAGAACCCATATTACACGTAAATAAGGTATATAATTTAACAGAGATCTTACATACATGTTCCATATCTTGACAATTACGGAAGAAAGAGTGGAAACTGAACAATAACATGATTGTATGGTTCGGTAAGTTGTCAAAAAGGCTGCTTTTCTTATAGAGATAGGTGTACAGTTACTATTCTACTGCATTAAAATTGATTTCAATGGTAATCTTATATACCTCGCTGGATAAGTGGTGGTTCTGCTGCAACAGCCGAACTCAAGAATTGAAACAAAATCGAACTGAACCAATCGAACTCAAAACCTCATTCGAGGTCGATCATTGAGGCATAAGAAACTGAAATCAAAGAGAATAAGTTGCTTCTGTGTTTTAAACAAGAGGTAGGTACCTAAGCAATAATTATTACCTATACAAAATAGATACGGTACCAAATTGAATCCAGAACGTTGATTATTGAGGCAAATGAAACTGAAATCAAAGAGAAAAAGTTGCTTCAATATTTAAAAAGAGGTAAGCAATAATTAATATGCAAAAATAGATACGGTACCTACTTATGAAAAATATTTTAGTTTACTATGTGTCGATATTAAACGCACATGTGAGTTCATCATTTATTTTAGTTTAATGTAGGCAATGACGTATACTTTCAAGGTATTGCATTATACACATTGATTAACTAGGTAAATCAAAAAACATCCATCAACTTTTAATGGCTTCTAAACAGTCGCCGGCCATTTGATTGTAACTAACGAGAATTTTGCATAGAAACCAATATTAATATTTGTCAGGTATCTAGGTACATACATTAAATAGTAGATATGAATTCAAATTTAGCTTTAGCTTCTTATTAAATATTTCGTAAATTCATGTATTCGATAATTCGTTAATTAGCTATATATTTATTTATTTAAACCAATACATCCTAACAGCTATGTAACATAAATGTACTGACTATAATATTGACATTATAACGTTTTAAAATATCTGATAAATTTCTGTCGTAGGTAGGTACAATAAGTTACCAAATAACAATCCGAATGAAATAAATAACTTTGTAAATACACTGAATCTTCAAATTGTTTAGATAATTTGATTTCCATTAATATCTGATTGTTTAGCCTGCGTACGGGCACGTTTGTAAGTGAGCGTAGCGCCGCGAAGATGTATCGCAGGGATGCGCCAGCGCCGACGTCGGGTCGCACGAAGTTCATAGGTAAACACGCCGGTATATAAACCCCATGCAGTGTCAACGAGCACACATTTGTGCCTGTGATTGCATCCAGTCCTTTTGTATTGAAGTCCCTGCCCTTCATCCCATCACAATGGTGAGGAAATATTCATCAGTTATTAAAATAATGACGCTTTTTCACTATCGGTCACCGATCTTGTCCTGTCGTGACTATCCTGCATGTAGAAAGTTTCAGTTAACCAGTTCTTCATTTGAATAAAACTGTTTGTGAACTTTTTTGTAAGAAATACTTTATTTGCATGCTTGATAATGATCTTATACTAATTGTGTAGACAATACGTAAAACAGAAAATAGTAACTTGGCACAGTTAAAGCGCTGTTAAAACGCCTCTGTGTATGTCCTTTTATGGTATGGGGGCTATTAACTATACTGGTGAATGAAGGAAAGTACTTAGTTGTTATATGTACACTATGGTCTGTACTTTCAAGAAATAATAGGTTTTACGTAACTTTTTTTTCTTCTTGTTGACCGAGTTACATGATGTGGGATCGAAGACAGTTGTTCATGTCTCTAGGACGCGCCGGACTTCAGTATTCTGGTATTTTCATGGTTGTATCTATTGTAGATCCTGGCTCACAGAAGTTGCAACGATTTTAGGAAACTCATTTGCAATTGTAAAGGTATTAGCATTATTTATAACTTAAATGATTATTCGAAAGTTGTCTCTTTTATTGTATGTATGCAATTGTTCTTTATAAAAAATTTTGTAACAATCTTATTCAATTACTTCATTGAAATTTTAATAAGGATACAATGTTTATCGTCACTGTGCCTATGTTTATTATGAAACTATTAACTTTATTTGTAATAAGTAACTTCTTAAAGTTACGTTCTCAAGACCTATACCGGGTTGTAATAAGTTTTTGTACGTATCACTTATCCAACAAGTATCGATGCTATTTGCACCCGTGAATGTTAACATATACAACAAACAGTACAGGTGCACAAAATGTTCAACACGATAGCTGAGTTATGAAAGCTTCAGCTTTCTCATGCACATAACTTTTACTGGAATACAAAGAATTTAGTATGCAAATTTATAACCGTTACGTTATCACGGGTCAAAAGTCAACACGTGTTTCATGAACAGGAGTTCACAATACGACTTTAGATCGTTGTCGATTCACGGACTCCTTTCTTTCCTCAAACCGACAATTTCTACCCATCTTACTCACGTTTTTGAGACGAGCAGCTTCCTATGTGTTCAGTTTGCTTTGCACAATATCAATCGTAAAATATAATGTAGTCATTTTCCAACAAAGGACTTTTGTAACTGGTGAACGAAACGTATTGCCTTGTGAGGCGGTTAGTGCATGCAATGTGTGGTGGTTGTGTGAACCATAGTGTTGAGTTTTGGAGGATAAAGTAGGTACTCGTATTATTTAATGCAGGTAGAGGTCATTTTAGGCGGTTTTAACAAGTTTTCTGATCAACAGAAACAAACGAAGAGACACTCGTTGCTTCAAGAGCGCCTCCTTGCAATCTTTTCAATCCATTTAACAATTATTACAGATTCATAATACCTTCTTAGCATGTACATACATTTTTGTTCAATTGATTTATTCCTAGTATTAACTATTAACTAAACAAATAAACCATAAAAAGCTTATACTTTCGACACCAAGGACTCGCCGTAAACGACTAAAACACATCAACTAATCTATTAACATCTATTAATAGCCTCTTTGATGTAAATGCAATTTATTATCAATTTATTTGATCATAAAACATAAAGTATTGCAACATATTGCACTAATGTCCATCACATACTTACTTATATTAATTGGAAGTTTGCAAAACGGAAATATCCGCGGAAACTTGAATAGATGGAGGTTCTTGTGATATGAGGAAAGGTTTGTCATTAGTCCATTCATCTTATTGATAAAGAGATCAATAATAATATATTAGCTTTGTGATGTGTATAGCGTCTATTGCAAAGCTCACTCATAGGTTTCCGACATGGATTGCAACTGCAACTAACAAATATGGTCGTATTATAAATGCAATGACCGCGCGAAACCGATTGTGTGATAGCTCTTTGTAAAATAAATTAGCACTCTTGTCCGTTACGGCAGAAACCTAAGCAAGATTTTGATTTGATTACGTACACTTTACTAATTATGAAGGAAAGGTCTAATCGCGGCTTGGGAAAAAGAATGTTCTAAAATTCAAAGCCGTAATGCAGTGTGACATAATAGTTGCATTATTTGGTTATCAGGAAATTAATTATGCAGATAAGAATTGATTTGTATCTCGATTACTACAGAGAAGTATTTAACTTCTGACTGCTTATTCCTGATGACAGTTACTAAAATGAAAGTATAATGGGCAACAGGTCAACCTATTATTTTATGTCAAATTACTTTATTAGATTATCAACTCCATCGTTCACACATAAAGTCGAAAATAAAATGACATATATTTATATTTTAAACACGCAAAAACAATTTACCTCATTATTAAATTAAAACTCAAATAAATTGCAGAAGACTCCAAATTGTACTGTGTAATTAAATAAAAAATAATACCTACAATAACAATTGACTGCATTGTTGGTGCGGTGGATGGGCAACTGGCTACCGCGCGATATGTCGCAGGTTCGATTCCCGCATGGAATAAATATTTGTGTGATCCACAGATTGTTGTTCCGGGTCTGGGTGTCATGTGTGTGTAAAATTGTATGTTTGTAAACGCACCCACGACACAGGAAAAATCCTAGAGCGGGGCAACATTTAAAAAAAATATATACAGCATCAGGTAACAAACTGATGCTGTAATTCTATTTCATTTGTGGACGATATAAAATTGATGGTGCATATAAATCACTGAATGCAGTTTGCGGTTTCAACACACGCTTTCTATTAACTTACCTATTTTCATTGTTATAGAAGAAAGGCTTTTAACCTTTGTGCTTGCCGGCATTTGTTATGTATGTTACATATTATAATTTGCAATTTTATGTGTAATATGTGGATGTTCTGTGCCCGGTATATGGCAATAGGCTCACATTACATGGGCCTCATAACTTTAATAGTGAAAAGTGGGTGTGTTAGATTGTACAGGGGCATCACTGCCTACCCCTTCGGGGGATAAATGGCGTGATGTTATGTGATTAAGCTATTTACTAGGGTTTACCCAAATTAAGGCACAGGTAGGTACTTAGAAATGATTTACACCTATGTGCAATTGTGCATAACTTTACAAGAATTAGGTAAATTACTAATGAAATAATTATTATAATATTAATTTAATTAACCTTTCGAGTAAAATTTCAATTATGTATATAAGATTGCATGGAGATATTTACTACTGTTAGCAATAAGACCAAGGTAGCGCCTGCCAGTATATAAAACGCACGTTTAAAAAAATCTTTTAAAATCAATGCTATTCGCTGTTGTCAGGCGATTGCCACATTTGCCTACGTTAGTAATTTCTTACAGTGTAAATACCATAGATATAATAAAGAAGTTAATATTTCTAAAAAAGAAAACTTAATAGTGTATTATTAAGCAATAACTTATTCGAAAAGTCAGAAACTAAAATGTAGAAATAAAAAATTTGAATGTGATAGTTTATTCATAATTTTTAAAGAAAACTTCTTAGTCCTTTTTGTTTAATACTGTAAATGAAAATGATACCACCGTCTTCTCACAAGACATGTCACAACAGTCTCTAAAATTAACATTACGACCATTGTGAAATTACATACAACAAAGAATCCTGCGTCGCCTCTGTTTATGTTATTTTAAGTATTAAAGTTGTTTACGTACCTTCTGTCGAGTAGTGAGCACATTATTATGTGTTATTTATTTTTGGATTACTTGGTTTTCAGGGTAAAAACTACATCTAACCACTTACCGATTCGGTCCTTAGGTTCGCTGAATTTTTTTCTAGTTTTAAAATCGCTTAGTTATGAAAAACCTACATGACTGGTGCCATTAAAGTGCCTGTCGACTTATTATTTTATAGGTACTACCTACGTTTGGTGTACGTAAGATATTCACCCATTTCCACTTGAATATAAGGCCAGTCAATTGTTGCTATTGCTGATTAATTATTTTTTTCTGTTTCAGATCTCTTTATTCTTTATACTCCTGGTAGCAGTAACGTATGCGACAGCACAAGCGCAGTCTACCGCTCCGATCCCAATTATTCGCTTCGAATCAGACGGCCCTAATCCTGATGGCTCATATAAATGGCTGTAAGACATTTTTGTACTTCTTTGCTATGTTACTTTAACCGATTACCATAATACAAGCGTAGTAGACTTCATTTAATGTTCTGATATTCCCAATGAAAAGGTAAGTAATTTAATAAAAAGATTGCATATTATTCTAATTAAAGTTTCATAAACATAAAGTTTAACAATAAAGTTTGTCTTCATTAGTCAACATTTTTAACATCAAGAGTTTTATCCCTAGTAGCCTAGCCCATACTATTTTTCAGTTATATGCATATGTATATGTAGAAACGGAAATTACTTACCTTGATAACGCTTTTGTGAACGATAAAATTTAATAACGATAATTATTTTACATTACAAAAATTAACATTCAATTACGAACCATACAAAGCTACCGCTCCTATAGTTCTTACTTTAATGTGCAAAATATAAAAGGTAATCTCGTCGGTACATTATGCACGTCAACGCATCAACTTCTGAATAAAATATAAAATCTTGAAAGATAAAGATCACGACACACTGATTGCAAGATAATATAATATACCCACAGTGTTGTCATGTTGTCAACACTCGTTGGTGGTAACATTATTTTTGATGAGTAAGAATTTCATTTTATGAGAGAAAAGATTTTTTGTTGAAGATGGTGTTTATTATGTAGACATTGTAAGTACCTACCTAGAGATAAATACAGGTGCAGTGGGTATACAGTACGCCAGTCTCTTTAAAAAGAAGACAAAGACAATGAAACATTAGATGGAATAGTTACAGCATATCTCTTTATCTGAATACACAAAGTTTCTCAATCGGGGTTCCATTTGATTTGGTCCTTTTCTTATTATTATGTACTAGCGACCCCCGGCTTCGCAAAGGTGCAATATATGCAAGTATTATACATATTAATCTTCCTTAAGAATCACTCTATCTATTAAAAAAAACATATCGTTATTCATTAAGCATCAAAATCCGTTGCTTGTTTTAAAGATTTAAGCATACCTAGGGACATACAGACGGCGGATAACGACTTTGTTTTTACTATGTAGTGATAATAATTACAATTTTCTATGTTCCCTCTTTTCAGATACGAGACAGGTAATGAAATCAATGCTGAAGAGTCAGGCTACGTGAAGAACTTCGGACAAGGTGAAGGCAAAGAGATACAAACTGCGGAAGGCAAGTTCAGCTATAAAGCTCCCGACGGCTCGCTCATTGCACTCACGTACATTGCAGACGAAAACGGATTCCAACCACAGGTAACAACATTTATGCTAATTCTCAGTTACCAAGAAATAGACACAATTTTCCTCCTTTTCAATCTGATAACGAAGGCTCGAGATATAAAACTAACATAAATAAAAAAATATTCAACCACATAACCTATTTCGTCTTAAACGTTTTGCAAGAATATTCACGGGAATAAAAAAGCTTGCGACAAAAGATACTTATGATTCAAAGGCTCTCAACTTATTAACAAATTAAACACTGCGGTTACGCCTTTAACCATAAAAGGATGTGACAAGATTGAAGCATCGTCTCAACTATTGTGTAATAGTGCATAAAATAAAATACGTCTTAACACCTGCTAAATTGCAATTATATTTATGCTGCGGAGTGCCGCTGGCACATAGAAGCCTTGACATCTTTCCAGAGGGATCACAATTCGTGGTAAAATCCTCTGTACATGATTCACCGAATCCGGTCTAGCGAATATTTAAGACAAGTCCCGTTGAAGCACCTCAATAAAACAAATTTTAAATTGCATTTTTGACAATATGACGCAAGATTTGTGAAGCCTGGTTTAATTAATTCATGTTTTCGTACACAAATGTAGAATAATTTGCACAGTCGTGTCATTTAGTGCTTTGTTCTAACTAACCTCGAACGGCACATCACTCCAAATCTAGACAATACCAGTGAAATCAGCATTGACCCACAAAAGTGAATCCAGTAATTTTATTTACACTATATTTCATTCTATAACATAAACATTCGTTTCGTAAGAAGACAGTAATTGTCCATTTGTGATTATGTAATAAACGCCTACATAGATGGCCGGGCGGTCATACATCTTTGTTTCTGTAACGTACATAGATCAATTATATTTATGTATTCAAAATGCCAGCCTTACGATTAAGGTCTTCATTATTTTATACGCTTTCGATGATGGAATATCTAGTTAAAGTTATCCGAGGCTCGTATATTAGATCCTGTTGTAATTTTATTAGCTGGCCGTCCTTGTACTTTTTTCATACAAAGTTTCGCGAATCCAAGTACGGAAAACATTAAAGTGAATAGGTTATCGGCACTGTTGCCATCAAAACGAGGTGTGCAAAAGTTTGCATTTAATATGAAGAGTAATGTTGAGATGAAACAAGGTGTGGTCCGTGTGAAGGCATAGGTTGTAAATACTCGTAAAACGTCTCGAGCCTGAATCATCATTGCGTAAAGGCTTAGGAAGATGTCTGCGGTGCGCTCGCGCTGCAGTGGCGTGGATGTGGGTCTTAGTTAGCCAACGTGTGTGCAAATGTCGCTGTAAAATATCAAACGTCGACCCGTGACCCGCTCTTGGGAAATGGGAAGGCTTCTGGTGTCGACATTGAATATCGACAACTGACTTCTGTTGACTGATAAGGTGATTCATTAGTGATCCACTATCGTCGCCTGCGCAATGTTTGACAAACGCTTAGTGATGGTTATACAACTTCAAGCACATGCTCATTGAAATGGTGCAACGATTATTATAATTATGTTTGACTATTAACAGCGTATGTGTGAAAAATTTACATAAATGTACTAAGAAATCTTCATAAATATTAAAAGAAATTGGCCGTTTTGCTGCAAAATATTCCATTGTATTTCCTAATAATAAAAATGCAGGAATTCTTAAAATACACGTCTAAATGTCAGAAAAAAAATTAATTAATTAATAGGTTTCTTCTATATTTGTGTAGCTTTCTCAACTATGAATAAAATTTATTGGCTCCGATGACGAAAGTAATCTACTTCAAATCAACTGTTACGTCAAACTGGTCGCGTGAATTATGTATGGAAATAAACGTGATATTTATACCTAAACGAAGTCAAATCATGTCAATGTTAATGGTACTATTTCAAACGCAGAATCAGTTAACCTGCTATTAATATGAACATTAAATTCATTCATTAAACTACTGGTTAAAAGTGTAACTATAAATAAATATTGGGGCAGTTAAACATCTTGTATTTAGTTCAAACTTATTTAGAAACTTATCTATATATCATGGATACATAAATAATTAGTCTCTCTATATTGTCAGTAAAACAAAAATTCTTTAAATAAAAATGTTTGACAACTTGTTAATTAGCATTCATTTATCACAGACACGATAACATTATGTCATCACAGTGAACTTTTCGACGCATTCAACAATAGTAACGTACACGCCATCCTGATATCTGAAACCTGGCTCAAACCACAGTTATTGTCAACAACCTACCCCCTTCCTGGTTATGTTCTTATACGCAACGATCGTACTGTTAGGAGGGGTGGGGGTGTTGGTATATATCTCCGCAGTGAATTTGCTTTTAAGGTGCTTTTTTCTTCCTCTCCCAATTGTCCTGCGGAGTATCTCTTCCTTGAAGTTTGTAGCCGGGGGGTGAAAATAGTGTTGGGTGTTATTTGCTGTCCTCCTACTATTGATTATTTCACTGAATTCGAATCAGTTCTTGAGTCTTTGGGTTCTGAGTACGCACATCACATAATCATGGGCGACTTTAACACAAACCTTGTCTCCCATGAATCCCATCGTTCCCGTAGACTTCTGCACATAGTTGAGTCATCTGGCCTGCAGTTATTGCCACTTAATCCTACTCACCACAACACTGTAGGCGATGATTCCTGGCTTGATATTATCCTTGTCTCTAATCCCTCCCTCGTATCCTGTCATGGTCAGCATGATGCTCCGGGTTTTTCTCACCATGACATGATCTTCCTTTCCTATATCCTGAAACCGCCCAAGGTGAGAGCCAAAGTTCTGTACCGGCGTTGTTTTGCGCGAATAGACATGGCTAAGCTTCAGGTCGATGCCTCTTTAATTGACTGGGAGCCTCTGATGACGGCAACGACAATTGATGATAAGATTGCGCTCTTCAACACTCTGGTGACTGAGCTGTACGACTGCCATGCTCCCATTAAGAAGATTAAGATGAAGCGGCCACCTGCACCGTGGATGACGTGTAGTATAAGGATGGCCATGCGACGCCGGGACCGCGCGTTCCGCAAACATAGAAGGGATCGCACGGACGAGAATTGGGTTGCTTTTAAATTAGCAAGAAACAAATGTAACCAGATGGTACGGGACGCTAAACGCCGCCATATTCTCGAAAACATAACTTCTTCTTCTCCTGCCGATATTTGGAAATTCCTCGGAACTCTGGGTATCGGTAAAACGCAATATCCAGACCTTCCTAACACAATTGGCTTAGATGATCTAAACAACCATTTCTCCACTGTCCCTATCATGGATCGTCTAGTCAAACAAAATACGTTATCTTTTATTGATGGTCTGGAGCGTCCTAAGATTTCTTGTCCTTTTTGCTTTGCACCGGTTCAGTCGGCGGAGGTCGGAAAGATAATCCTGTCCATTAAGTCCAAAGCGGTAGGATGTGATAATATCTCTCGTCACATGATCACAACTGTACTGGATCACATCCTGCCAGCAATAACCCATATTGTAAATTTTTCCCTATTTTCAGGAACCTTTCCATCCTTGTGGCGTAAGGCCTTTGTTCGTCTCTCCCGAAAATCTCAAATCCCTCTCTCCCCACTCATTTCCGTCCCATATCCATACTTCCTTTCCTTTCCAAAGTGCTTGAGGCCTGCGTACACAAACAGCTGTCCAACTTTATTTTCCGGAATTCTCTTATTAGTCCTCTCCAATCCGGGTTCAGACCAGGTCACAGCACTACTTCCGCTCTCCTTAAGGTGACTGGCGATATTAGGACTGGCCTCGAGAACACCAAGATTACAGTTCTGGTTTTAGTTGATTTCTCGAATGCCTTCAATATGGTCAGTCACGACATCCTTCTAGCCGTCCTATCCCATCTTATGATCTCTGACAAACCACTGAACTGGTTCTCTTCTTATCTTCAGGAGCGTCAGCAGTCGGTCAAGCTTGATGATGGTTCGTCTAATTGGCGTGAATTAAGGGCTGGCGTTCCTCAAGGCGGTATACTATCTCCTCTTCTATTTTCTATTTTCATTAATTTTATAACTTCTGAACTTCGGTGTGCGTACCATCTGTACGCTGACGACTTGCAGCTATATCGTCAAGCTCATGTTGATGGGCTGTCTGATGCGATCTCGGAGATGAACGTTGACCTGGCGGCCATCCAGAACTGGTCCGATAGGTTTGGCATAGCAGTGAATCCTGGGAAATGTCAAGCCATTCTTATAGGTGGCTCCCGCACGATGAATAGAGTTGACATGGCTTCCTTGCCGGCAGTGGTTTTCGATGGAGCAGTAATCCCGTATAGTGATGAGGTGAAAAACCTGGGACTGCATATGGATAATAATTTGAAGTGGCATGCTCAGGTCACCAGTGTGTGCAAAAAAGTTACTGGATCCATGCGAGCTTTGTATCGTGCGAAAAACTTACTTCCTCCCGCTACGAAGGCTATGTTGGTGCAGGCTTTGGTTTTCCCTATTATCGATTATGCTGATGTGTGCTACTACGACCTGAATGCAGATCTCCTCAACAAACTTGACCGACTTCTAAATAACTGCATTCGATTCGTTTTCAACCTGCGTAAATACGATCATGTTTCTGCACATCGGCTGCAACTGAAGTGGCTGCCCATACGCCAGCGCAGGGAGCAAAGGGCGCTAACCACTCTATTCTCTTTTCTTTGTTCACCTTCTTTACCCAGTTATCTATCCCCTTACTTTCAATACTTGTGCGCAAACCACAGTAAAAACCTTCGTTCTTCCCATAACCGTCTTCTCCAATGTCCCACTCATCACACTGACTTCCTTCATTCTTCCTTTTTCGTGCAGGCAATTTTGCTGTGGAATGCGCTCCCCCTGGATGTCAGGATGGTGTCGACACGTCTAACATTTAAACAGAAAGTGCGTGAGCTTCTTTTGAAGAGGTTGGCTGAATCGTCACAATAATTATTTACAGAGTATTAGTAATTATGTTCATATTTATATTATATGCTATGAGTCTATGTATGTATGTATGTATATTGTAGTGTACTCGTGTGTAGGTATATGTATATATATTATTACTATATTTATTTATGTTCATATTTGTAATATGTTAGTGTAATCTTCTATTTTCTCAATTAAATCGTTGCTTGCTTCTTGCTCCTACCACTCACTCTTCTCTGCATCACCCAAAGGTCAGACTGGGAGAAAATGCCTGCGGCATTAAGTCCACCTTGTGTACACCTTGTGCATGAAGCGTTAATAAAATAAAATAAAAATAAATAAAATTATGTTGGTGAGTAATTTCTTTGACAACCCAACGACAAATGGTTAAAGATTCACACTTTGACGACCATTTTGTAAAGCTCATCATTTAAGATACTTAATGATATTTGGTATACTATATTTTTTATGAGAACACCACAATTATTGAGAAGAAGTCTAGCCAATTTCGCTTAACAGTTTAGGTTTTTCGATATGTATGTATGTAGATACGTACTTCAAGTGACTTTTTAGTTTTAAATGACCTCCTTAGTATGCGAAACTTATTTATATAGATTTATACACTAATTATAGACCGTAGTTAACTTGCCATGGTTGGGTTTGCCAATATTAGGTACACATAGTTTTGACGATACTTACATACCTGGATATAGGTATGTGTAAGAAATCAGTGGTATTCGCTAATTATTTTTTATTGGGTCATCTCTGTATTTTTATTTAATCGTTTCATTGAAATGATTATCTTTTTGAATTAGAACAACAATCTAATGTTATATAAAAATGTTATAAAAAGTATAATATAAAACTCACGAATCCCCAGGTGATTTATCAAAATCAAAAAGGACGAGAAAAACATTTTTTTTCTCACATTTATGTATTAAAATATTTTATAAATGTAAATAGTTACAGAGTGGTGTTTTAATTATGTTATTAATGAGGTTGTAGTCAATTAATCAATCCTTTTTAACATAACAGCAATTTCTCTCAACGCGTGTTATTTAAACATGCCATAGGTCATTACGTTTTGTTATATATTATGTGTTAATGCAATAGATAAGCTACCCGGAATCGTATACTTGGTATGGTAAAGATTTTCAAGCGAATTTGTCTAAAAATTGTTAAAATCTACCTGTACGAATTTTGGTTTTAATTATATTTAATTTTAGCGGTGGTTTTAGTAATAGGTTTCAGACGTTCGAACCTCTGACTACTCATAGTGATCATGACTGAAAAAGTTTTTATTTGAAACGAAATCTTCGCCATAGAAGACCGGAACATATTTATCAACCTGCAAAATTGTGAAGCAATAATGTATTAAATTCAGATATATGCGAAATATAAATCCTCTTTTTTAATTTCCAGGGCGACCATCTGCCAACTCCTCCACCAATCCCGCCAGCAATTGCAAAAGCCCTAGAGTACTTGAAGACCCTTCCTCCTGGAAACAACGAAGGTGCTTCATCCAATATCAAGCCTCAATATCAAGCCGCACCTTTCAAGGCCAGGCCACGATTTTAATAGAAATGTTTGGCGCGTCTGATATTATGTATACGATACAGTAACATTTAAAATGAGCGACTTTTGCACATAATCATAATTAATATGTAAATATAGTAAAGTGTAACGAAATATAGAGCGAAACATAAAATAATCGTTTCTCACTTAAACACACCCGGCTTAATTATTATGTTTTCGGCTTACTCACGTAACTATTTCCTTTTCTGTATGTACTGTATTATTAATGGTGTACAATAAAGTTGTATTCTATTCTATTCTATTCTATTTGACGAGGAACTCGACTAGTTTCAAGTCATGCTAGAGGCTCATATTCATGAGCAGCATTCCGTGACCCGTGACGCGGCGTCTGTCGCGCTGCTAGCAGCGGGTTCCTCGTCAAAAAAATACGTGAGTAAGTCGAAAACATAATATTAATTTAGTATGTCTCACGATAGTTATAATATAAACATTACCCGGCGATAAATATTGCACATTGACTTTTGGAGAGAGACTATGTTGTGTGATATTACAATCATTTGGTTGTACGAAACAGTTTTTTCAATACTTTTATGATACATGGAGAGTGCTTAACTAGTTTTAGCAGCTCGTAATTATGAGCAGTATACGCAGCGGCCGGTTGTCTTTTTTCAAAGGTCGATATGCAATATTTATTGCCGGGTACTGTAAATGGAATTGGAAAAGTGTACCTAATAAAATTATTCGTCTGGAAGTCTCTGTGGGTCTATATGACCCGCGTTTATATTATGTTCTCACATAAGGTGGGTGGTGTCATAATTTCAATGTGTTTCCGAAATGTTACACCTAAAACGTTAATAGGTATAATGTTATATTACCTAAATAGTATTCATGTGTATTTGTTAATGTTTACAATAGATTTAAGTAAAATTTTCTTCCAGTAAAGTCATTTTTATTTGTAAGAATAAGTGCAATGTAGTTGAAATTCAATAAAGGTATTGAATGTATCGCCAGTCTTTTATATATGAGTTGTTTAGAACTTACAGTCAGCCTCGTAGTTAAAATTCACTTTATTTCTAAAGCATAAAATTTCTTTGAACCTTAGTAATTACGTGATAGATTTTAAGACATAATAAGACTTCATTAGTAGGTCATAAAACTATATAGTTTCTACATTTTAACATACTAATAACTACAGAAATATTAACACCATAACTCATTTAGTGAAATCTTAATGTTCAGTTGTACTGCTTTTAGTTTACTTTGCGAGCTACTTGATGAAGGAAACCACTATTAGAACCGTTAAAACCTTTTTTTACTGATGGGACTCAATGACCTCCACCACGAATGTGACAATTTGGTTATCTCTCCAAATTTAATAAGTCCCTTACATCACATTTGCAAAATATTCATTAATCGTAGGTAATTTGTTCGTTAAAACGATCTTCGTCTATTTAAAATGATAATGCTTGAGGGTTAAGGTATAGAGGTTATGAATTTAATATTCATAAACAGTTCTCGTTCGATATTTTATATTTTTAATCAAAATGTATGAATATGTTTCCCTCTCGATGGATGATGATGGTGTGACATCTAATTTCAACATAATACATAGAATAAGAATTAATCTTATTGACACATTTGTACCTACATATGTCGTTGACCTTGTTTTTGATAAAATTTCTTAATAAGTAGCCAAGTTGTGGGGCTATTTACGACCTTTATTTCCCTTAAGACCAGAATAACAAGAAAAGTGAAAATTATAGATACGATAGTATTACGAAATAAGACCATCAAACGGTGAATAATGGCAACTTTGATGTAAAAGATTAGATAAGCGGTAGATTCGCCCTCTGTTACATAGGCGTTAATAGTATGGCTGACGTAAAGTAGGTGTGTCCTGCATAGTTTGTATAAGCCTTCGACAAAAACACAACGTAATAGAAAAAAACACAAAGCGTAGAATAAAAATCGTTAACGATATAATCAGTTTCGAGACGTTCAACAGCCGAATATATGCCCCCCCCCCCCCCCTATAATTTTCACAGCGAGTTAGAAGTGACCTGCATGAAAAGATACTGGAAAATAGAATTGGATGTCTAGAATACCTTTCAATGGAAAGATTTATTAAGCAATGCAGAAATAATGATGTCAATTACTAGAAGCTCCATTGTAATACAAATAATATAATTAGGCACCTAATATAAGTTTACTACATAGAAATACACGTTTAACCTATATGGTGCTGGAGGCTTAAATGAGCTTGATTGTTTTTCAGGACGCTCATTGAGTCGTTTTTACTTTAGCATTCTAAAAGTCTAAAATATCGGCTCTTTGCTTTGAGCTAATGCATTGTTATTTCTACAAGTCATTACCACAAAACAATCTAGTAAGTACTTGATAATGTATTAACGATCATTAACAGTTTAGTTAGATATTAAAATACCTGAAACTATGAGGTAAACAAAAGATTAATATTTTTTATTATAGTATACAGAAGTTATGTATCACATCATCACACATCAACAGCCTATAAGTGGCTACTGCTGACCAAGGGCCTCTTCTCACACGGATAAGGTTTGAGCATTAATCACCACGCTTGCTCAATACGGGTTGGCGATTTCAAACGAATAATTAGAAATTATAAAGTACAGGTTTTCTCAGGATGTTTTCCTTCACCGTTTGTCAGTGCTAAGTAAATAATCTTTGAAAGTACATATAACTCGGTATAAGTCACATTGGTACTTGCCGTGGTAGGTTTTGAACCCGCACCCTCGTGCATGAGAAGCGGACGTCTTAAACCTCCGGGCCACCACGACCTAAGTTACATACAATAATATTTAAAGCTACCAGAATTGTTCCCTGTGCATACACATTATTGTCATAACAATAATGGTCTTACTACCTATTGCAAAGTCAAAGTCAAAATCATTTATTTCAATTAGACCAGAAAAGCATTTTTGAACGTCAAAACAAAATATTGATATATTAAATAGTAAGAAGAAATGATAATCTGTAGGTCAGTCCTCCAGTGAAGCTATTTGCTCGTTCCAAAGTCTAGATTATAGGTTACTCTTTTCCAATCAGGTTCACAATACAATTTTTAGTTACCTACATTGTTTAGTTGATTACATAAGACTTTTTTTAAGGGGGGGAAATCATCAAATGACTGCTCCCGCCTGGGTGAGGCGGGAGGGAGTGTCAGACTCTTACTGACTAAAAACCACCCCGTTCGTTCTCCTGCACGTCGAGCCGGAGCCCCGGTTACCCGTTAGGTTCTCCGCGACATTACATAAGACTTACAACAATATAAATACTTAAAAAGGTACATAATATTCAAGTGTTTGATAGATGGTCTCGTGTAACAGATGGTACGTAAAAATAAACATGGCAAGTGACATCTCAAGTACTGTATGTACATAATTTATGACAGCAGCAAAGCTTACATGATTGAGTATGTTATTACATTGTATTTTTAAATGAAGCCTATCACGCATAATTAGGTACAATATGGTGAATAAGAATAGGGTAGACGACTAATTTTTATTTTAATGTCCGTCTGATAGATTATTTAAAAACATTAGACACGTATTTTTTATTTTCTCACAGAAACGAATAGTTTCGAAGATATATTGATTTGAAATGTCGCGTGACGTCACTTCTCAGTACATTTTATACCAAGGAATGACGTTTTAGCCCCCACTTCTAAACTTTGATTCGTTTTATCTAAGTATTGTTTTATTATACGACAAAATAAAAAAATACGTGTCTAATATTTTTTCATTACCTAACTTACGGACTAATTATATTTTTATTTTCATACCCTGTCATCACCCCCATTATTGATTTAATTATTCCTTAGTGCCATTACAGCATTTAAACCTTTGGTTCCTCATCGTCAGTATCATGCCGGCCAAAAGAGATCTACTGCTGAACATAAGCCTCCCAGTGATTTCCAGATTGGTCAGTTGGCAAATGGCATACATCCAGCGGCTTCCTGCAACATTTAGAATTTCGTTATTTAGTCGATTTATTTTTTTATCTATCTATGTAAGATATAGTGTACACTGTCTCATTGGCCAAGTGATCGCAAGTGCGACTACTGAGCAAGGGGTCTCGGGTTCGATTCCTGGGTCGGGCAAAATATTACTAGATTTTAAAGAAAAACTCAGTAGTATGACGAAATCTCGAAATATGGCCGATATATGACCCCTACTATTACATGGGACTTATAACACAAATAGTGTAAAGTGAGTTACATTGCATAGTGGCATTAAGTGCCGTAATGTGCACCTCTGCTTAACTCTTCGAGCATAAAAGGCGTAAAGTTATGTTATGTATATAGTGTAAGATACCGTACGCTAAAACGAATGTTGAAGATCGTGCCTTCTAACCTACTAGATGCATCGTAATCACTAAAATCTCAGCAATTCTTTTGTGAATCAAATTGTAGTGATTAAATAAATAAACAGCATTAGATATTTCACAACTAACTCAATATTCGTACATGTACAATTTAAGAGCGATGCTGATGTAGTGAAAATTACTTTGGATGTTTACTTAGAAAACCATTATCTTAACCAAACCTAAAGGTTACATCCATCTTCATATACACATCAATAACCAATAATGGGAGATAAAATATCTTGTAAAATTAGCTGGCCGTCACCCAGAACAAGTCCCGATATATTGCGAAATTAAATTGCTATGATTTCCATCAAACTACTACAATTTTAGTTTAACATTTTCGTTTGTTTTATTGATTGCATTAGACACGCGTGATGGCAGAAATGATGAAGCCTAATCGTCAATTCGAATGCATTTGCAAGTTTTATTCCACCTTACCGATTCGACGCAATGTAGTACAGTTTGCAAAGACACATAAAAATAACGGCTAGTAATATCAATATAAATAATAATAACAGTCACGTATCAACTTCAGATTTAGCAAAAACAATAAAAAGGCCATGACCAAGATGAATCACGAAAAATAAAACAACGGTTGCAGACGGACGATTTATCAACGGATTTGAAGGACGAGCAGC